CAGGCGGGATGGCGGGAGAACAGGCGGGATGGCGGGAGAACAGGCGGGATGGTGAGAGGACAGGCGGTGGGAGGACAGACAGTGGGAGGACAGGTGGGATGGCAGGAGGACAGGTGGGATGGTGGGAGGACAGGTGGGATGGTGAGAGGACAGGCGGTGGGAGGACAGACGGTGGGAGAACAGGTGGGATGCTTGGCCACCCTACATGTGACATAGGTGTGTCCTGGCAGGCCCAGCTGTGCGTGGGCCTTCAGTAGTCCAGGCCACCATAGGCGTGTGTGTTCTTCACACTGTCTCCTTCATTTTAATACTCTGTGACTTTTCTTTCAAACAACTTTTATAAGCAAACAAATGAGTGGGGAATGAAGTAATTTAACAATACAAACAGCATAAATACTGGCTTAATTTCCATCACTTCATTTTGAAAGGCCCCTCAAGGAGGTGAAGTAAGTAGGCTGAGGGCACAGCCCTGCAGGGGTGCATGAGGGAGAGACTCACACCTCCGGGGTCCACAAGCCCCGAGAGTGCAGCTCATCTTCACACTGGCACTTGGGGCCTCACTCTAAGAGTAGCCTTTTACAAACACAGAAAAACATCAAGAGAACACGCCTATGCTGTTCTTCGTTCTTGCCTCAGTGCGTCTCCTTCTGGGGACAAGAGAGAGAGCGTGCGGGTGACAAAGTGCCGTGCATCCATTTGAGACGTCAGTCACCTCTCCAGGTTATGAGACCCAGGAGGGAGGGAGCAATAGGCTTGGGCTCGGTTGATTGCGGGCGGGCTGGGCGTCCAGGGCGCGTTAGGGCTGCCTCCCCCGGCCGACCCCGCGCTGGGCACTGACAGCCTTGACCGGCGCTCGGGCAGCCGTGGCCTGTGGAGCCAGGCGCTTAGGCCAGCACCTGCTGTAGCCCCGCCTGGTCCGTGGGGCAGCTCTGGCGGCCACAGCGCACTTTCTTTATGAGGCGCCGCAGTTTGCCGGGAAAGCTGCTGTCGATGCAGCGGTAGAGCAGCGGCGTCACGGAACTGCTGGAGAAGGCCAGGAACCTGGACACGTCTTTGGCGAACAGCAGCATCCCCAGCTGCTGCCCGTCCACGGGCTTCCCCCGCAGGGCCAGCGCTGTGTGTCCCAGGAGTGTCAGATAGTATGGCGTCCAGAGCCCAAACTGCGTGCACACGGTGGCCACCAGGAGCCTGTGCACTGAGGGGTCCAGCCGCCCTGAGTCGCGGTCGAGGGGCGTGTCCTCCTTCCGGACCCGCGAGATGAGCACGAGGGCGTGCAGCATGGCCAGGCCGGGCACCAGGTACCCGACGACCACCACAATGGCGTCGGCGGCCTGCGTGTGCCGCATCTGGGCGCACTCCACGACCCTGGCAGCCACGTGGCTGCAGACGTAGAACAGCAGGGAAGAAAAGCTGGTGAGCAGGGCGCCGCCCCACACGAAGCCACACACATGCCTGGTGTTGTAGACGCTGGCCATGTAGGTGCGCGGCAGGGCCCGCTCGATGTAGCAGTCCAGGCTGAGCAGGGCCGTGGAGTACATGGTTACCAGGGAGCACACGTTGAACAGCACCAGCAGCGCGATGTGCAGCTCGCTGCCGAAGCCCCACAGGGCCCACCCCGAGGCGCTGGGGCCCAGCAGGTGCACAGGCGCCATGGCGCTGAGCACCAGGCCCGCCACGGCCATGTTCACGAAGTACACGTCGGGCATGGTCATGCCGCTCTGGTCTTGCAGGTTGACCAGGACCAGCAGGGCGTTGTAGCCCAGGCCGACCGGGACGCCGACCACCAGGTAGAGCAGGGAGCAGACAGACAGGACCAGATGGAAGTGCTGGCAGAGGGGCGGGTCCTCGCCCCTCCCGGTGCCGTTGGGCAGGCCGCAGGTCCACATGGCGCCGGCTCGGCTGGGCTGTAGGAAAGCAGCGGCAGGTGAGTTGTTGGCTCGAGCCCGAGCCCAAGGCCTGCAGCCCTCAGAAAGGCAGAGGGGCACAGGAAGTAGCCTTAAACATGCACAGGAATGACCAGAGACTAAATACAAGGAAATGCTGTCCCAAGTGTGTTTTCCGTGAAAGTGACGTTGCCATTGTGAGATGCCCACCTCGAGTCCTGAGCTGGGCTTTTGTGCCAGGATGGTCCCGGTGCTGCCATAATCCTAGTGATCACAGCTGATCTTCCTAACGTACTTCCAAGAGAAACCTGGGGCTACTCCAGGGAAGCTGTGTCCTGGCCTGGCAGGACACCCCACCTGCCCACTCTCCTCAGCAGCGGCTGGCAGAGTCTGGGGGCTTCTCTCCACTGGGAGGGGATGCTCTGCAGGGTCCCTGCTGACCTGGGCCCCATCCTGCCAGCTCAGAGCACAGGCTGGCTCGGAGCAAGTTGGCCCACCTGTCCTCCATCTCAGCCTTGTTCCTGAGAAGTGGGACTAAAAAGACAGCGCCCGCAGGGCCACTGGCATCAGCCCACGCAGCCCCTGCAGGGCACCTGGGGCCATAGCGCACATGCTGTCACAGGCCTTTTGGTGACAGGTGGTGGATCAGCCCAGATTAGGAAAAGGCCTGCAGTGAAGGGAGGGGTGGGCCTGAGGCCTGACCGCCCATTCACTGCCCGGCACTCTGCCTCATGGGCCCCTCCGCAGCCTTTCTGCCAATGAGGACTCAGCCCTGCCTTGCGGCATCAATCGGCCCTTCTCCAGCATCAATCGGCCCTTCTCCGTGTGCTGTGTGTGTGGGGGTTGTACAGCCCTGCTGCCCCGCCCTCCCACCTGTGTCTGGTGCCGTCTCTCACGCCTGGGTGGCACTGGGGGCACACGTATGAGCAGATATGTGATCAGGCGCACAGCGGTGGCGTGCGTGACCCACGGTGCACCGTGAGCTGTGCCAGGAGAGCTGGAGGCGCTAAGCCAGGGTGGCTGGGGACGCCACTGCTTCTGGGGACATGCCTGGCACATAGGGTTGAAGACCTGAGAGGGAGCCTGGCTACACATGTTTGTATATGTGAGGCCTGGCGTGGCCTGGCACGCTCAGGTGAAAACTGCTGAGGACCTTGGTGAACCTGGGACTTCCTGGGGGTGGATGGTGCCTATAGGACCCTGAGCCTGCCAAGGTGCCACTTGGGGAGAGGTGGACGGGAGTGGGCATTGGCCCTGGTGCCGCCCTGCCTCGCAGGCTGCACACAGACGGAGTGGGACAGGGTGGCCTGTCCATCCCAGCAGGTGGGAGGCCTGGGTGCACAGCTCGGCATTAAGAATCGGAGTGAGAATTGGCAGATGGGGCCATGATATGTACAAAGAATGGAACTGTCGACTTCGGAGGAAAACCTTACATTCACAATGTAGTCTGGCCCAAGCACATCTCTTGCCCGCAGACTAAGAGATCCTTTCAGACAGCAGACATGTTTCACAGGCTCAGGCCACAGCGAGAGCGAGCCCTGCCCGTGTGGGTGCTGGCCTTGCCCCAAGGAGCCGGCGGCGCAGGGACCAAACCAGGTGACACGGAGAAAGAGCTCTGGCCTGTGGACAGTGTAGTTGGTCATGTACCCCCACAAACCTGTACCACTGCCCCCCATGTCCTGACATTGTGTGGGGGCTGGGGCCACAGGCGTGAGTGAGGAGGGACGTCCTGCCACCACGGGCTTGGGAGAATGAAGGCAGCAACCTCCGCCCCCCAACAGGAGTGCATCTGCTGGTGTCCCCCACATCCGACCACCATAGGGACTGAATTCTGTTCAGGGGCAGATGGGAAGGACACCGAGTTTGTGGGAATGTCTTGCAACCCTAATGGATGCCCCCCAGCAGCCTGACATGATGATGGGTGGCATAGGGTAATGATGGTGCTGGGCACGGGGCTGGCCCAGGCTGCCCACACGTGCTGGTTCCGTTGCTTTGGGAGAAGTGTACCCTCCACAGCGAGGATGCAGCTCTGTCAATCTGGCTGGTGCTCCTCAGCCTGTGGGGCTGGATTCCAGGGGAGAAGGTGCGCCAGGCGGAGGCACTCCCAGAACTCCACGGCTGGCCGATGTGAGCCCCTCCCTGGCAGGGCTCCTGCGGGAAGCTTTGTTTTTTCGCTGAGCTGTGGGAGGGGTTCCGTTGGTCATCTTTTAGCTGATTAGACAGTGGTTTCCTTTCTCCTGTGTCTCCTTGACGCCTCGGAGCGGTGGCTGAGGTTGCAGTGCTGCCTCCTGTCCCTGTGTGCGTGGTCTCCTCCGTCTCAGGCTCCTGCCCGCTGAGCTGTGGGGCTTGTCTACCAGATGTCACTGGTGTGAGTCCCCAGGAAACACTGCATTTTTGTGGCCACTGGGGACATTGATCACCCCAGAGTGGCCTGTCCACGCCGTGACCAGCCCACAGCCAAAGCCCCGCTGCCTGGGATGTTCCCAGCGATTCTCGTTGTCAACCTCCCTCCCCCTCTGGAAGATGAAGGCTGCAGCCCCTGAGAGAGAAGGGCACGCAGCCACCACTGGGACAGGCGCCCTGGCACTGGGGCATTTACTGCAGAAGGCATGAGCTCTGCGCCTGCTGCCCAGGACCACGGAGCAGGAAGACGCACTCGCAGTCCCACAGATCTGACCCACTCAGTCCCCGTTACCCTCGCTTTCGGGTCACCAGCTAACACGGGGTGTGCGGCACCCCTGCCGACAGGGTCTGCCTTTGCCCAGCCCCTCCCCGTCTTCTGAGCCGGCTAGCTCCCAGCTGTGCCAAGCCTCTGCCCCTTACCTTTATTCTGTGTCCCACCTGTCCTGTGCCTGGACCGCAGACCCCGTCAGTAACAACTGCAGCACGGAGGGCCCGTGTGCTCTGGAAACCCAGTGTCCTTGTCAGGCAGCCGTGCGACATGAGCTTCCCGGCATGCATGTACAAGTGTGCACGCAAGCGAGCCGGGTCCCGTGTGGAAACGCGCCTTGTTTTCCCTAGTAACTCACTCACAGCTTCTGCTTCCCTGGGCAGGCGTGGCGGCCCCTCCCTATCTCTGTTTAGAGCCAGTTCCAAGAAATGAGGGGCTGTGCCTGGATGGGCGACAGGGCGCTCAGGCTGCTCTCCGGCCTCCGGCACCCCAAGCCCAAGGGGGGCTTGTTCAGTGAGCGGCTCCTTTTCTCCTCGAGATAAACGGGCAGACGCTTGTTGGCGGGAACTGAGGACAACAGAGTTGGGCGTCAAGGAGCCTCTGCCGCAGAGAGGAGCCCAGCGCTTGCACTCGGGTGGGGGCACGAAAGCAAGGTGGCAGCAACAGGGGGTGGCCCAGGGCAGCTCAGAACTCAAGTCCAGGCCATAACGCAAGTGAATGGAGCCGAGCCCCCGGGAACCGCGTCCCACTCGCAGACGGAGTTGCCGGGCTCGTCCATCCGTCTCTGTGGGGCCCTGGGCAGCTGGGCTGCTAGTGGCTGGCCGTGAGGGGCAGCACAAAGGACGGGCAGTGAGCCGCTGGCGCTGGGCTCAGACTGGCTCGGTGCTCGGGAAACCGTCATGTGGAATAAAATCTGCTGAGAATTTCCTTCATGCGCTCACGTGCCTGTGTGGCCCTGGCGTGCCCTTGCGGGGCGGGAGGCGGTGATGGTTCACACTGGCTTTGGGTCAGAGATGCGCCTGAGTGTTACTTACTGTCAGCTCGTAAACACAGAATTTATAAACCTTATCTCATGAGCTAGAGGTGGCGTCTGGCTGCAGGTTCCTTACATATCAGTTATGAGGATGACTGATTTCAATGCAGATTATAAACTAAAAGGTACTGGTTTTCATTCACTTTAGTCTAGAAATGACACTTTGCTTTCTGTTCTGGTGTTCTTCCAGGGGGCACTGTGTGTCTCCAGGTGTCAGAGGTCTTCCTTTTACAAATGCAGGGGTCTGCCATTCTGTACAATGGCCAGCATTCACTCTTATCCGCGTGAGGTTGAAGGGTAGGGCGGGAAGGAGACACCTCTGGCCCGAGGGGGCCACCACGCAGCGCCCTGGGCTGCAGAGGGGCCGGCAGAGTGACTGTGGGCTGGCCTGGGCAGAGGCCCAGGAGGAGGCAGGGCTGGGCCACCTGTCTTCCCGTTTCCTTAGTCACCCCACTTTCCTCTGTGAGCTCTGGTTTGTAAGTCCAGGAACCAGGGGAAGCAGAGACTTCCGTGGAGGCGGAGGCCGTCTGGGAGAAGGGAGGCCTGACAATAACGGCCGGGCTCCCGCCCTGTGGCCTGTCTGCTTCCTTCCTGAGAAAGAGGAACGTGGCAGAGGTGGATTCCAGGAAGAGCCCTTTCTGCTTTTGTGTCCCTAGAGATAGGACAGCGGAGGGCAGGCATCCCGACCTGCCTAGTGCCACCAAGGACCAGTGCTTGGGGCACCACGTTCTGCCAGCCATCGTCTACAAAGCAGCCACATTCTCACCATCACCTTCTGTGTCCCTCAGCTGAAGGGGGTCAGGGTCAGCGAGGACCCCAGAGGGGCTCTTGTTCAGCCTGGTCTTGGGGACAGGCCCGTCCCGTCATCACACCCCACCCCCGGGACTGTCCACGCACCTCCTGGTCAGAGCCGCCTGCCCGCCGAGCTTCCCGCCCGGCACCAGCAGTGGCCAACCTGTCCAGCCTCTCTCCAGCACTGCACCCGTGGTCCCCCGTGTCCTCCCGGCTCCCAGCACGGCTTCTCCCTTCCTCATCCCCATGGACTCACACTCTTGCCAGCTGCTGTCTCACCTCCGCTGGGTCCTGGCTCTGCCTCTGAGCTGGAGCCCGTCTCAATCTCATTCCACGGGGACCCAGGAACACAGGAAGTACCTGTGTGTTGACGTGGGGTCTCCCCAGAGCAAACAAGCCTAGACTCTGTTCCCCCTGCCCTCCCCCCACCCTACTCTCTGTGGGGAGACCGACCCCTCCTTCTTGGGGTCCTGGCCAAACGAGGCCCGTGGCTGCTTCTCCTGCAGTGTGCTCTCCGGCGAGCTA